TTGTCTTAATACTGCTCTATTGTTGTAATATTATGCAGTTTAGTGTCAATAATTGTATTGGCAATGTGGCCTCCTTCTGCACACATACAAACTGCCACCGCTCCAACAGTCTAATGGTCTATGTCATGGTCTTTCATGTGGGAGATCAGGGTTCAAAACCCAACTAACACTACTTTAACAAAAAATCTCTTCCAACTTCATATTGTCACTCAATTACCTTAATTAAAAACCCCTGCTGATGTGGCAGGCACAAGCTGGTTTAGAAAACATATTTGAACTTGGTCAAAGCTCATTATTCAAGTCCAATGCTCCTACATACTTTGTCCTACAGCTGCCATTATAATTTCTATCTGTAAATGTCCTGTGTCAAATGATTGCTATGCCTTTTGGTGCCTGTACAACTTGTAGTTTTTGAAATATTGTTTAAACTTTATTCCAAATTCATATAATTGGAGTCAATGGAGCCTTGTAATGTTCCAATACTGCCCCCAGCTGTACTCGACTTGGAACTGCACCATAGTTTTCTCATATTTTACCTCAATGGTTCAGTGTTTACACTACTAATATGATTGTACTTTCATGTTTTACTATAAATTTGTCTTAATACTGCTCTATTGTTATCATTTTATGCAGTTTCGTGTCAATAATTGTAWTGGCAATATGGCCTCTTTCTGMATACATTCAAACCAACCCCTGGCACCACACTCTACCACAGCTCTAAAAGTCTAATGGTYTATGCCATGGGCTTTCGTGTCGGAGGTCAGGGTTCAATCACATCTATGAACAAACACTTTCATTTAAACCACATATTTTCAGATTATATTGTCACACCATTACACTCAATGGTTCAGTGTTTACAATCATAATATGATTGTACTTTCGTGTTTTACTATAAAATTGTCTTAATACTGCTCTATTGTTGTAATAGCATGCAGTTTAGTATCAATAATTGTATTGGCAATGTGGCCTCTTTCTGCACATATACAAACCAACTCCTGACAACTCCTGGGGCTTTATGCCCCTGGTAGGGTCACCCAAGGCAGACAGGTCCTGGGTGAGGAACCAGACAAAGCGCAGCCCGAAGAACCCTTATGATGCTTAAAAAATTTGGATCTGGCATTCCCTCGCCCAGACGCGGGTCACCGGGGCCCCCCTCTGGAGCCGGGCCTGGAGGTGGGGCATGATGGTGAGCGCCTGGTGGCCTGGCTTTCACCCACAGAGCCCGGCCGGGCTCAGCCYGAAGAGGAGACGTGGGTCCCCCTTCCAATGGGCTCACCACCTGTATGAGGGGCCGAAGGGGTTGGGTGCAGTGTGTAATGGGCGGCGGCTGAAGGAGGGGACCCTGGCGGTCTGATCCTCGGCTGCAGAAGCTGGCTCTTGGGACGTGGAACGTCACCTCTCTGGTGGGGAAGGAACCTAGTGTGCACGGCAGAGAGGTTTCAGCTAGAAATAGTCGGCCTCACCTCGACGCATGGCTCTGGTTCTCTGGCTAATGTCTCTCCTTGAGAGGGGCTGGACATACTTCCACTCTGGAGTTGCCTGCGGTGAGAGACCCAGGGCAGGAGTGGGCATACTTGTTGCCCCCCATCTTGGCGTCTGTACGTTGGGGTTTACCCCGGTGAACGAGAAGGCAGCCTCCCTCCGCCTAAAGG